TCGTGTTTCCCGCCTTCGCTCCTCCGAGCAGAGGCTGCTGAGTAAAGGGGCCATGACTTTTATTTCTCCGGGGTTGGCCTCTCTGAGCTGTGGGGACTTCCTGTCCCGCCGGAGTCCTCCGAAACCCTGAGCCAAAGCTGTGTTGGTCCAGGGCCTTGGTATCAGGTAGACCTGGGTTCAAGTCTAGTTCAGGCATTTATGATATCTGCAGCCTTGAGCTCATACCTTAACCCCCCACATCTGCTTTTTCAGTTGGAAAATGAGAATAACAAAAATATTCACTGCCACCGAGTCAATGCCAACTCATAGTGACCCTATAGAGCAGGGTAGAACTGCCCCTATGAGTTTCCAAGACTGTAACTCTTTACAGGAGTAGAAAGCCCTGTCTTTCTCCTGAGGAGCAGCTGGTGGTTTTGAACTGCTGACCTTGCGGGTCACAGCCCAGCACATAACCACTATGCTACCAGGGCTCCTCTGAGAACATTAATAGCAGTAATTCACTCCATAGGGTTGTTAGGTGGAAACAACAAAAGTTCTTTGCATAGCGTCAGACCCTAAATAAATGCTCACAAAAGGGATTAGTATTTGTTCTGACAAGGTCTTAGGTGGAGGTACACCTCCAAAGCCAAACCCACTACCATAAAGTTGATTCCAACTCGAAGAGACCCTGCACAGCAGTGTTTCCCCGCGTGGGTGATGCCACCCCATGGGGCATGACAACAACCCAGCAGGGGCTGCAACAGTAGGTGCCTGCATTTGATCCTGGGGTGCATGGGCGATAGGAGAGAGGACCGTCGTTGCCAGGACACACTGGATAATTTTTATTTTTCTCGGAAAGGACCAGTAGGTCAAATAAGTTTGGGAGCCTATATTACCACCACTGTACATCATTCCGGAGGTGATGCCTCATCTTTCTCCTGTGGAGAGTCTGATGGGTTTGAACCACTGGCCTTGCAGTCAGCAGCCCAGCACTTACCTGGTCGGTCCAGCTACCATGGCTCCTAGGAGTGGGTAGGACAGGCCAAATGACAGGACAAGATCTTACAAGTTGGTAAACCACAGGGTCAAGCGCTGTAGGTCATTGGGAGGACTGCCCAGGGGCAGGGCAAGTCCCTTGGATACCACACAGGCTTTCTCATCCTCGATGCTGTTGACATTCGGGACCAGGTCTTTACTGAGGGGTGGGGGTGGGGGGCTGCCTTGCGAGTTGTAGCATGCTTCGCAGCATCCCAGCCTCTACCCAGTAGAGACCAGTAGCAACCTGCTAGTGCTCTTCAGAACCTTAAGGAGCAGAACATGGCTGTCAGTCACCCAAGGCTGAGAGAGCCCGGAAGCAGAGTGTGTGCCCCACGTGGGTGTGGGATCTGGGCACGTGGCAGGGCCGAGTGGCAGGTGGTCAGCTTCAGGAAGGCTGGCAGCGGGCACCAGCGGCAGGTGTGAACGGGTCTCCGAGTCCCAGCTGCTGGCGCCCCAGAGCACAGGCCGAATGGCACTGAACTGAGGTCACTCTGCGTCCCCTGAGTCTGGGGAGGGACCAAGCCTGTGGGGAGGGCTGACCTACTGCCCATCTTAGAGGGTGTGGGGCAGAGGTTCAGGCTGCCTCTCCACTCTTCAGCAACTTTCCAGCCTGGAGGCTACAGGATTTGGGGGAGGAGTGGTCAGGTTCAAATCCAGCCTCAGCTGCATGGAACAGAAGGCTAGGATAATTAAAGAGGCGCTGCCACTGATGTGACAAGCTTGGTTTGGGCTTGGCCACGTCAGTCAGCGCAGGGGGCCCTTCAGCAGGCTCCTTGCCCACCTGGCCTCAGGCTCCTTGCCTATGTAGTGGGCATGATAGTGGCAGCCTCTATTAGTGTGCGCCTGTCACTCACGCCGGGCTGTCAGGTGCTGCCGAGTGGATTCTGACTGAGCAGCCACCCTTGACATAGTCAAACTGCCCATGGCATTTTCTAGACTGTCATTTTATGGGCACAGGTCACCGGGACTTTCTCCCCTAGCGCTGCTGAGGGGTTCAGACCACCAACTACTGGGTCAGCCACGGAGGACACGACCCAGGGACCATGAGGGTCCTTAGGGCAAAACTGTTCCCCCATAAGCCCCTTTTCCAACCTTTGTTCTCCTCTCTGGACTGCCATCATCTTTCAGAGGTAAGAAAGTGCAGGCCCCTCAAGGAGAGGGATTGAGTTCTTCAGCTCGGCCTTGCCAGAACCTCATTCCAGGCCCTGCAGATAAACAAGTACCAAACCAGACCCACTGCCTGCGAGTCTATGCCGGCTCACAGTGGCCTTATCAGACAGAGGTGAATGCCACTGGGCTTCTAAGACTGCAGACAGCTTCATCTTTCCCCGTGGAGCCAAGGGTGGGTCTGGACCAACAGTTCTCAACCTGTGGGTCACAACCCCTTTGGGGGTCGAACAACCCTTTCACAGGGGTCGCCCGATTCATAGCAGTAGCAAAATGACAGTGATGAAGTAGCAATGAAAATAACTTTATGGTTGGGGGGTCACCACAACATGAGGACCTGTATGAAAGGGTCGCCGCTGTAGGAAGGCTGAGAACGACTGGTCTGGGCGGTCAACCTTTGCAATTAGCAGTTCAGTGCTTAACCCACCAGGGAAATGCCCCTTCTTTGCAGGACTACAACTGTTACTTACGGTGGTACAGAACCTCCTGGTCACCAAGTGGGGGTTCACGACATGTGGGTTGAGTGAATTAACTTGAGAAGAACGATGGAAAGAGGTGGAGGCCCCGTCGAGCCCTTTCCCTCCCTGCTCACCTGTGTCCCTGACTGTGTGGCCATGGGAAAGGAACCAACCCAGGTGCAAGGACAGCCGCTGACCTCAGGCAGCAGAGGAGTCCCGGATCCTGCAGTAGGCACGGTGGCTGGGACGGTCTCCATCATTCTCGCCACCGTGAAGATAAAGCTGGATGCTCGAGGGGCCGCTGATGTGTCCTCCTCCCTGCCACAAGGAGCCCAGGGGCTGTGCCAGACATTTCCCACGCTCTCCGAAGGGTCAACGACACAGGACATGAGTGACAGTGTGGTTTGTAAGGCAGACACCTGGATGGGGAGTCAGGGGACCTGGTCCTGGCCCCGTGGCCATCACCACTCCCAAATTGACCCTGGATGAGCACCAACCTCCCACAACCTTTCTATGCAATGGGTACCTTGTGATGCTCCTGGTGTTTGGCTAGGGTGAGGGGCCAGTCAGGAGCCACACTGCTGAGCCAGCCCGCGACCCTGTGGGAAATCAGCCAATGGCATCCACTTGGATTGTAGCTGGTGCTGATAGGTTTTGCAAAGCCTTTGGCCTCCCAACTGCCTCGGCCTACAGGCAGCACTGAGGGCCACCGGTTACTTTGACATCCAGGGCCTCCCACTGGGCCTGCTGGTGGAAAGCCAGGGGGGCAGGGAGGGGTGGCTGTGGGATTTCCCAGGAGCCTGAAAATGCCGGGAGGATATCACCGACAGGGAGAAATGGTTGCTACAGACAACATCTTTTTCTCACAACTCCCCCTCCATACCTCTCCCCCTTCCTAAGTCACAAAATGAACTTTCAGATAGGGGCTTTGTCTGTCCCTGAAGTCTTGAAGTGGCAGGCAGGGGAATGCCGGCCCGGAAGGGAGCACAGAATCAAGATAGGTAGGGTCCCTGGCTCCTTGCCGAGTCCCACATTGACGGCCTGGTCACACCCGATGACCCCCCAGCAGCTGAGAGTGTCGTGGGTGGGGCCGTCACCCAACTCTGAGCTCCGGCCATGGTGAGCCAGGACCCTGTCAAGCATCTGCCTTCCATGGGGTCACCCATCCAGATTGCCTGGGGCAGAACCTTGTCCCCAGCCTACTTCCCACGCGGAGGACCCATCCCCCTGGCCAGCAGGCATAGACTTCCCAGCTGGGCCGGCCTCACTGGCAGCCTGCAGCTCAGGGGATATTTCCAGATTCTGGGTGACATTCCCCTGCCCCTCAGCCTAATAGGTCCCAGATGCTCCCCTCCCCCCCCACCCTACTCCCCTTCCTAGTTGAGAAACCCTGAGTGCAGGCTTGTCTGCTGCCCGGGGCCGCAGAGCCCAGTTTCTGCACTTCTTTAATTTAAAACATCGTGGCCCCCTGCGCATGCTGCTGTGACAGAGGCCAGCGTGAGAGAGTGGTTTCATCCTGGCTGGGAACCAGGGCAGAGGAGAGGAGAGACAAAGGGGAGCAGGAGCGGCCGAGGGGGCGACAGAAGGAGTCTTTCTTGGCCGAGTATAAAAGAAGGAACCGGAGTAGCCGCTGACTAATGTCCCAGGTCACCGGGGGCTGGGCAGCCGCTGCAGCTGAGCTGGGACGTAGGCGGGCCTGGGGCCTGCTTGACTGGAGTCCTGCAGAAACGCTTCTCCTTGCCTGCTCTTTGCCGGCCCGCTCTGCTCGGCCCTCCCTCGAATGTGTGGCTCCTGGCTGTTGCCAGTGAGCTGGCCTTGCAGGTGGAGGGAGAGGGAGCAGCCTCAAGGGAAGGAGGGTTGGGGGTGCGGAGCATGAGAGGCGGGTGTGGAGCGGGAGGTGGCTTCCCCTGCTCCTGCCTGCTCATTTTCAGTCACGTTTCCTGGGCGCCCTGGAGGGGATACCAGCTCGATGACAATGGAGATCTCTAGCTTGGGTCCCACCTTTGACCCTTTTCATCGTGCTGCAGCGACCCCTGTCCGGTCCCACAGAGCCTCTTTTGTACAGAGGGAAATGCAGCAGGGAGCTGTACAGGGGGCACGACCCTAGGCTCCCGGCAGGCCCAAACCTGGGCCCCAGACCTCTGCACACATCATCCGATTATGCAAACACGGAGATGAAATAAAGGGGGATTCTATTGGTGAACCTGGGCCAGGAACGTATGCACTTTGAAGACCAGATGGAAGCCCCTCCGCTGAAGAATGGTTGGGCTCTGCTTGTAGGGCTCCTGGCTGCCTGTGTCTTCTTTCCAGCCATGACCCCGACTCTGACTCTGGTGTTTTCTCTCTCTCTTTCAGGACCTCCTGTAAGTACACAGCTGCAGCCTGGTCACGCGTGTCTCTAAGGCCTATGCTCCCTGCCGGTAACTGGGTCCTGGGTGGGGGGACGAACCCTTGGCCTTCACTGGGTGAGGGGGTGGTGGTGGGAGGGGGCAGACAGTTTCTGCGGGGCCCCTCCAGCATCGTCATATGAGAGAGAACCAGTTGTCACTGCGTCCACATCTTGGCTCCCGGCAGCCCCTTGGTGTCAGAGTAGCACTCTGACTGCTGGGTTCTCCATGGCAGGCTTTCAAAAGAGAATTGCCAGGCCTTTTTCCCAAGTGCCCCTGGGGGGATTTGAACCTCCAGCCTTTCAGTTAGCAGTCACGCTCATGAACCATTCGTGCCACTCAGGCATTCCTGCTGCAGGAAAGGAGGCTGCCACTTTACCTCCCGCCCACCTGTGTCCCACTCCAGGGCTAGCCAGTCAACTTCCCCCTGTACAACGTGGGCGCAGGTCCTGAATTTCAGCCGGAAAGGTGAGGACGGCCCCATTGTAAGCTGACTCTTAGTGCCCTCAAGAAGCAACTGGAGTCAGCAAAGCAGCGGGTTTTAGAAAGATCATCTCTACCCAGTTCTCTACCCCTCATCTCTACCCCTCAGAAAGCAGGTCAGGGTGAGGCGCTCATGTCCCTGAGTCTGCACCATTGCCTGGGACAACTGGGTCCTGCCTGGTCACTTAGGGTGGGTGGTGGCCACAGCGATGGTTGCTTCTATGCAAGAGAAAGTAGTGTCCATTGGTTGGACTGGGAGACCACACATAAATTCTGGTCCTTGGGTCTAGCCTCCTTCCCTGGCGTCTCTCAGTGAACCGGGATGGGATGGGGGAGCCCTGCCGTTTCAAAAGGACTTGAGAAGAGCCGAGGAGGCTATCTCCCCAAAGTAATGGATCCAGGGAACAAGAGCGAGTCTGCTTTGAGGGATAGCATCCGATATCCCAACAAAAGGCACAGCGGTCAGGGAGGGACGAGGGATGGAAATCTGAAAGGCCAAAGCCTCCCTATCAGATCTTTCTCAAGGAGATGAGTGTCATCCAGCCAGGCTACCCTGCCATCCTTGGAGAAGGCCCTTCCAGCATTGGTCGGTCGCCTCTGTTCCCCACCTGGGGGCGGCCTACCCCCCTTTTCCTCAGAGCATTATTTAGCATCGCATCTGTTCTCTGAAAGGTAAACGGAACCCGTGCAGGGACTCCTGCTCTGCCCCTGACTGATAAGCCCCACAGAAAGAGGAAAACCATTTCGTAGCTTGAAAGGAGGGCGGGTGATTTATTGTGGCCTGGTTGGGACGTCAGATCTCAATGCCTGTCATCAATCTTCCAAAATAAGCGCTGCCAGGGGGGCTTTGACAGACCCCTGACTGGAGCTGGGCCTCTTTTCCCCTTGTCTTTTTTTTTTGACTAAGCCAAGACTCCTCACCTCCCTGCCCTAATCCCGCTCCCCACAGAAATGCTGCTGGGCGGCCAGAGCAGGTAGCCCTGGGTCTCTGCAGGAGGCCCTTGCTGACGTGGGGGTCCTTCCTCCACTTGGAAGGTGACCCCAGACTGTTCACAGTGGAGAAGCAGAGGAGAGGAGATGGGATGTGAGTCTCTCTTCAGCACCTCCAGGCCCCAGGATGGCAGGGGGGCCCAACACAGGAGCGCCGAATGCTTGTTCACCTTTGGCAGAAACCCCAAATCAGAAGGAAGAGGAAATGGGAAGTTGATCAAGGCAGGAATTGCTTCCTCAGCTCTGTTCTCTCTGCTCCCTGCAGAAGAAAAATATGCTCTTGGCCAGAGGCCCAAAGGCAGGATCCAGGCTGACAGCTGGCCAAGGTGCCTGTCTGCCGCCCGCTAGGTGTGTCTCGAGGGTCAAATCTGCGTTGTAGCTGGAAGACCCAGGCTTCCACGGAACCGGTGCCTAGAGAGCTAGTGCCTAGAGCACTCAACCATGGAGGATGGAATTTTGTGACAACAGGAGCCATTTAAGTTGTAGCAAATGGTGGCTACCCATGACCCACCCTCAGATCTATGGCAGACATCTCTAATCAATCAGGAAGCTTCTCAGTGAAATGCCTTCGTCAGTGCTTCCCCATTCACTGAGTGTGCATTTAAGCAGCTATCCCTGCACTGGATTTAAGAGAGAATCCCTTAATCACAGGAACTGTAAGATAGAAGCCTATGATAATGGAAGCATGACTGTGCGTTTCCTTGCAGGAGGACAGGGGGACGTTTGATGTGCAGCTGCCAGGCCTGCTTCCATAAGATCTTTGCTGAAGTCGTAGCTAACACTACTCCCTGGGCACTGGTGTTTTTATGGAGGTGTGATTACAAGCAGGGACTCTGGAGACAGGCTGCCAGTATCCCAAGCTTGGCCCTGTGTGACCTTGAGCAAGTCAATGAACTTCTCTGTGCCTCTGTTTCTCATCTGTTCCATGGTAGTAGTTCCAAGTAGTTCTCCTTTAGCATCTGCCTCATTAGGTTGTGGGGAAATATATATATTACAATTATATGCAATATATTGATGTATTAAATTAGGAGCCCTTGTTGAGCTGCAACCACAGGTCAGCAGCTTGAACCCACAAGCCGGTCTGCAGAAGAAACAAGAGGTCTTTCTCCTCCAGTACAGAGTTGCAGTCTCAGGAACCCACAGGGGCAGTTGGACCCTGACCCATGGGGTCACTATGAGTCAGCCTCGGCTCCATGGCAGGGAGCTTGGGTTTGGGCTGTTGAGGGTTGTTTTTTGTTTGTTTGTTTTCCATTTAAAGTGGAATGCTTATTTGTAATAGAACGTGTGAATTCCTTTAACTCCAAGAAGCAGGGGTTTCATAGATGGTCCCCAAAGATTCTTCTTCAAAGGGTTTAATTCCAAGGAAGAAAGGATTATTGTGTGACTCCGGTGTGCACTTTCCTGTATTTCCACCCTACCTCATTCCAAGAAGGGTTTTGTGTTGATTCGTGAGCACGACAAGGTAATCAAACTCTGAGGGCGTGAGGGGCTGACGGAGGGCAGAGAGGGGCCCGAACCAGTGCTGCTGCCATCCCCCGACCCCTTGGGCTTCCGATCTTTCTGGAAACAGACTTGAAGCAGCTGGTGAGGCAGAACTGCTGACCTCCGAGTGAGCAGCCAAGCACATAAACACTGCGACATCAGGCCTTCAGGGAGGCACCGAGGGGCGGCTTTTCCCTGGCACTGCCTGGGTTTGCTGCCAGGGCCAGGAGGGGAGGCTTTCGCTTCCCCACAGATACCCAGGCCTGATTCTGCCCTCAGTTTATGGGATGAGCCCAATGTCTGGAAGGAGAGAAACTGTACTTGATGCCAGAGTCTCTGGAGGGGCAGGGGAGGCACCCCACCTCCCACCAGCCCTCTTCTCATCCAGCAAGAACCACAGTGGCTGCTCGCTGTTGAGGAGCCCTGCAGGTGGACCTGGGGTCAGGGGGGTGAGCCCACCAGCAGCTCCTCAGAGTAAGACTGACAGCCTCAGAAACCTTATGGGGTGGTTCTTCCCAGACCTCGGTGAGGCGGAATCACGGCCATGGGTGGAGCTGTCTGCCAAATGTCAGACCCTGCTGAGTGCCTGACGGCATGATAGCCCCTGTGATCAAGCATGAGGCGATGAGTTCTCCTCTTTCCAACATGAGGGGATCGAGGCCCCAGGAGGCCAAGCAGCTTGCCCAAGGTCGCAGAACTAGGCAGTGGCAGAGCCAGACTTGAGCGCTGGTGGGCGGACCGGACCCCAGCACAGAGCTCTTAACCTCTAAGGCACACAGCTCCATCCCTCCTGGACGTCGGGCCCTCTCCCTGGCGGTGCTGAATGAGCTCGAAGCTTCCCTGAGGTGGCCCCTGCCCTCTTTGCCAGAGGCGGTTTCTGATGCAAGTGGCCATGTTGGAGCTGATCCATCTGGAAGCTGGAGCCAGAGCCAAGAAGCCATGGCTTTCTCGGGATCCCCTTGGCTCCTGAGCTGCCTTCTGTGTACAGTGCTATGAAGATCATTCCTCCTTCCAATAATGCATTTTGGTGAATCTATTCCTTTCGTGCAGTGGGAATTTACATGGCGTCCTTTCATGGACTCTGTGCTTATAGCTTGTAGCCACTGAAAAACCCTGGACCCTATGCTCCATGGCCAGGCTTGTATTGGGCAGGGGCACTGGGCACTGAGCAAGACCATCGGTGGCCAGGGAAATAGGTTTCTTGAGCCAGAGGCCCTCCTTGGGCGAGGGTCTCCCCATGGTTGGAGGCATCAAAGAAAAGAAAATTCACCCCAGCAGAGGGGGAGCAGGCCCCTGGGGTACCCCCCCTGCCCCCCGCCCACCATTGACTGCCTCCATCATCTCGGGTATAGCAGCAGGCCCAGCAGGAGCGTCCCACAGAAACCATCTTCATCCGACAATGGCCAATGGGTGCCACCCTCGCATCTGGCCCCTCCTGAGTGGGAGGACAGGAAGGACACAGCCCTGTGCCCTGGCCTCTCAGGCCCTTTCCCTGCCCAGGGCCAGCACTTGCACAGTGGACATTGCAGTGGGCTGAGAGAGGCCGAAAGGCTCAGAGAGAAGGGACACAGTGGTGAGATCCACAGCCCTCATGATCCCTTAAGTCCTACGCGGGGCAGACGTAGGAGAGGACTCTCACCTCTCTGTTCTCCGCACCTGCCCTGGCCCTGCTGTGGACGGGGCCCCACTGAGAAGGCATGAAGAAATGCACGCTAGAGCTGAAGGAAGCTTAGTGACCTTGGCCTTCAGAAATCACTCTGTTCACAAACTCACAGAAGCCCGTGGGGCCCAGTGACCGGTGGGTGAGGCAGTGCAGAAGCACTGCGTATTCAGTGCCCTGTTCCAAGCCACCTTTGCTCTTCCCTGTTTCTTTCAGGGTCCTACTGGAAGGCCCGGACTGCCGGTACGTACCTTTCATTTCTACTTCCCTGGGCAGCTGAGGCAGTCTGAGGCCGGCCTAAGGTGGTGGCTGTTTCTGCTCCACATGTGTCTGGGTGAGAGGCTCTCTGGTCCAGACCTGAGGGGCGGCCTCCCCATCAGCCTCTTCTTCCTTGGAGGCTTGGAGAGGCTGCTGCTGCTAGAAGATCTGCACCCTGAAGCTGCAGCTTCTTGGGGGCCCCACGTGACGCCCCAGCAGATAGAACTGACCAACTACCAGATTCAGGGCCTTAGAAGGGTCAAAAGGTGGGCAGCGTACTCTGTCTCCTCCCCCAGGCCTGCTAAGATGAAGCCCCCTGGCCCTGTTCCTGTTCCCGCTCCTCAGAGAGTAGATTCCAAGGCTTCCTTCTCCCCAACCCCCAGGATGCCAAGCAGCCTCCTCCCTCCTCCCTCGGGGGAGCCCTTACTCTGCAAGGCCCTGCACCGATCGGTCTTCGTTCCTATGATCTGTGCCACCACTCAGTGAAATGGATATTGTGCTGCCTGCTTCGTAGATGAGGAAATGGAGATGCCATCAAAGTCCCAAGGCACCCTGTTATTCACTGAACCCCTCCGGCAGCGGGTCTGATGGAGGATGTGTGTTTCCGCACACCGTTCTGTACTGCTGCTGCTCTGGTCCATACTCAGCGCCGGCAGCCATTCTGCAAGCCTCCTCAGACATTGCTCTGCGGCATCTAGGCTGGACCAGGGATGAGTTGAGAATTGGAGATCCTGGGTTCTCAGATGGAGAGTGACCAGGCAAGATGCTGTAGCGGTCAGAGGGCTGAAATGTGGCATGGAGATTGGGAGCTGGCCCCGGCTGCCTAGTCTCCCTGTGCCTGAGAAGACCCCATCTGCTGCCTGCCAGACCCTTCTGTGTATATATGTATATATACATATCTTACTCTAATCACTCCTCTTTGAGACACGAATTATACTGTGGCCTCTTTAACTAATGTAGCAGCTTCTAGGCCTCACATCTGTCCAGTGGTGACCATCTTAATGAAATGCATGTGGGAGAAGGTTTAGTCCTTGAAATGGGAACTGGCCCAGGCAGCCCCGGGAGCCCTGGAGCCAAGGGAGGCCAGCGACTGTGTCCCATGAAATCCCAGGAGGGGCGAAGTCAGATGACTGGAGCAGCGTGGGCAGACTGTTTGCTCCGACCAAGCCCACCTTTGGAAAGCACTTAGGGGGACGCACACAGCGCAGATTCCAACCTCCTGACCCCTCCACGCCTGCCCCTCGCCGGAGCATTTTATGGCCAGGGCTGCAAAGAACATTAGTTCGGAAAGGGGGAAAGGAAACCAAAGCACACATCCTGAAATACCATTCTCCCGCCCCCGGTGTGCTGAGCCGGGTGATGATATGGCTGCCGGCCGGCTGGCCAGCCTAGCGTTGCAGTAGTAGGAAAAGACCGAGGACCCACCGGTCCCAGTCTTGTGCATGCTCTGGGAGAAGGGACTTGGGAGGGACCCCAGGACAAGCGTGCTGATCCTGGCCCCTGTTGTGAAGTGTGCCGAGTGCAAGCTGATAAAATGCCCTTGCAGGTGGCTGAGCGGGGCCTCAGGGCCGTAGATCCATGACTCAGCCCTTATTCAACAAATGCCAGGCCCCGACTTAGGCTTTAAGAGGCATCATCCAGGGCATCCTCCCAACCACTCCATGGAAGTGGAGCTGCGGTCACCCCCATCTCATAGGGGCTGGAGCCCTGGTGATGCTGGTGGGTGAACATTGGACTGCTAGCTGCATGGTTGGTGGTTCAAACCCACCAGACACTCCTTGGGAGAAAGACGAGGCTGTCTGTTCCTGTAAAGATTTACAGCCTTGAAGACCTTCTATAGGGTCACTCTGCGCCAGAATGGATTCAATAGCAGTGGGTCGGGGGTGTTGGGTGCTTAAAGGCTTAAGGGACCGTGTGGCAGTGCCGGAATTGTACAGCTAGTAGAGTTTGAGTCCCAGCCGGTGCACCTCATGGGAAACCACCCCTTGATGGTCAAGAGAGGCTGGCGTGTTGCTATGACCCTGAACAGGCCTTTCCATGGAACTTCCAGGCGAGGGAGGTGTGGGGGGGCAGACTAGGAAGGGAGGCCTGTGCAGAGCTGCTTCAGAAAATCAGCAAAGGCCTATGGCTCACCCACCGATCTGGGACTGGCCCAGGACCGGACTGAATTTCCCTCTGCTGTGCAGGACCCTCCATGAGGCAGGGCCCCCTCCTTCCCAGCCAACAGTAGTCACTGCTGCTAAGCTGACACTTTCACCCACGGCAGACCGTCTTCTGCACAGTCACCACTGGTCCTGACTGCTTCTGTGTAGCGAGACGCTAGTTTTAGAGCCCAGTGCTATTGTTGGGTGCGTCCCAACATCTTGTATGCTAATTTTCTCTCAAGGCATGTTTTTGTCGTCACGGGGGCCAACAGATGCACAAAGGCACCCTAGAAGTGCCCAGACGCTTCAGGGAATGCTTGGAGCCCCGTTATCCCTCCCCAGCCAGTCGGGACAAGCCCCAGCTTCTTTTCTGCACCTGGTGGCTCTTCCCCAGCTCCTAGCAGACCCCACGCCCCACCCTAGACTAGATGATGTCTGCATGCGGATGATTGCAAAAAAATGCTTTCCATCCGAAGGGGCGGAACAAAACCTCATAAACAGGCTTCCAGCGTGAGAAAATAGGCCCTGCGCTGACACAAAGCGATTCCCCTGAGCAGCTGAAACTCGTGAAGGGGCTGAGTCCGCATGTCTTGCAGTCAGCCCTTCCTGTCCTGCTGGGGATGGCTGGGGATGGCTGGGGGAGGGATTCGGGTGGCCCCCGGGAGGAGCAAGGCAGCTGGGGACACTGCTCCCCAGTTCTGGCAGAATGGGAGCTGGGGAAGTGATTCACCCATCTGTCACTTGGAAACTGCCAAGCCACCTTGCTCTGTGTCTCGTGGTTGAACCAGATGAGGATAGAACCATTGCTACAGCCGCAGGCTAAGGGAGGGAGGGCCTGTTGGACTCCCTTAGGAGACACATAGACACACTGAGGCGCAGGCTGGGACCAGACTCCCGAGTTAGTGTTCTTTACCCTGAGTACGGGAGTGAGAGGGGTGGCCTCCTGCTGAGCACTTGGGGGACCACGTGGGGAAGTACACCCATGGGACACTGGGGCACGGGGTGGGATGCCCCGACCATGCAAACCAGGCCTTGAGAGGACAGCTGGCTGGCGGGCTCCTGCCCAGGCTGCCTGGCTCCGGCCCCATCTGATTGTTTGCCTCCTTCATCAGGGAAACAAAGGTGCTCTTGGGATGCCTGGACGTGTGGTGAGTTGCACCTTGGTAACTGCCTGTGTGGTCACTGCTTGCTTCTCTGCCCTGGCCTGCCTGTCCTCTGGACCATGGCAAGGTGCTGTCTGCCCAGGCCCAAGGTGGGGGCCCACATTCTCCCTGCCCGCACCCCCATTCAGCTTCCGGCCGGGGTAGGAATAGAGAAAGGAAGAAACGTATGTCAGCCCTTCAGACATCACCATACGTGCACGACTTCACTCTCCAGAAAGCTGTCTGTCCAGGGACAGACCAGGAAGGTTGCATGAGTAAAGCCTTTTACCTGCCCCCTGCTAAAGGCCAGGGTGTGAGAGGCTTGAACCTCTCGGACAGTGGGAGTCCCCTGTTCCCCACCAAGACCAGCAGGAACGGTCGCCCAGCTCCAACAGCAAACAATCGAGACAGATCCATCCTCAAAATGAGGGGTCAGCCCACCAGACAATTGGGCTTGCTTTACTGAGGCTACTCTGGGGCCAGCGTTTCAGGCTGGTCTTCTTCTGTTGACGGGGACACTTGAGGACTGGATGTCACCAACAGGGCTGTTCCTGTGGGTCCTCCAGATTCTGAGGAGCCCCAGGCCCAAGTGTTTTAAGCTTCCTTTCCTCTGAAGGGGGATGGGAGGGTTTGAGGGGGGCAGTGTCCCCCAGGGGGAAAGCTGCAGGAGACCTCAGGCCCTGGGTGAGGGATCTTCCCTAGCCTCAGGGTGATGGTCTCTGCTGGGCTAGAAGTGGCAGCCAAGGGCAGTGGTGACCCGCAGCCTCACCGCCACCCTGCCTGGTCTAGAGCACAGTCAGGGTCTCATTCCTAACCCCACCCTACTCTGGATCCCCAGCACCCCAAGCCATAGGCCCAGTCTCCCTCCTGCTTTGCCCTCCTCATCTCACCTCTCCACGTGGCATCCAGTGTGTGAATTTGCATGTCTGGGGCGGGGACTTTGCCCCTTGTCCACTAACCCATGTGATGCAAGCCCTAACGAGTGCTAGGAGTACCTTGGTCCTCCCAAGAACTATGCGAGGTAGGCACCACTTCCAGCCCATTCTTCAGATGTGAGAAGGCAGGCTCAGACATCCCGTGTCTTTCAAAAGGTCACATAGCTAGGACGTCATGGAGCAGAGATGTTAACCCAGGCAGCCTGACGCCGCCAACCCCTGTGCTCTTGACCCTGAGAGAACAGATCCCTTGACCCCCCACGCAGCATGGCTGTTGGTGTCAGAGCTCTCAGATGGATCTGTGTGGTCCTTGGGATAAAGCCGCAGAACCTGGGGCATGTCAGAGGCTCACACATGTCACAGGTGCGTTGAGCTCCCGCAGGTCCAGCCCGAGCTCCTTTGCCGAGGTTTGGAGGCGGGGTATCCCATGCTTCCCATGCTCTGAGGAGCGTGTCCCCGCTCTCTGAATTCATTCTGTAACGGCAAGTCCTGGGTCCCCGTCCTCCAGTGCAGGGGCCTGAGCTCTGTGTGTCCCCCTCGGCCTCTAAGCCCAGGCTCTTGGAGCCCTGACCACCAGGAGCACCTGCTGGATGCTTCTGTGTTTTGCTGAAGCATCCAGTTAGGCGGGGAGTGCTTGGTTTTGATCAATGAAGAGGCTGAGGCTCAATGTGCCAAGATCAGGCTGGGCTTTGGACCCCAATTTCCTGCTCTGAAGAGGTAAGCTTTGGGGCCCTGCCCCTGTGCTGCTGTTGGCCAGCAAGGAAGGCTGGAAAGGAAACAAAGGCCAACCAGCCCCTCCCAGCCTCCCTGCTGTGCCTTCTCCCAGGGCCCTGCGGGCATCTCCCCCGGAAGTGGCCATCTGAGCTGGTCCTGACCTACAGGGGGGGCTGGAGAAGCAGCAGGGCCTTCCTTTTTTTGTTTTCTGTGAAAAGGCTGTTTTCTACCCCTTGGGGGCTCTTTATGTCCCTGGGTTTATTCTAGATATGACAATGGGCCCATCTGGCTGCCAGTAGGGGTCCTGGCATGTGCCACCTGATAAGGACTCCCAGGTCAGTGGTGTGAAGTGCTGGAACTTGGGGGGATGGGGGTGTCCCCTGAGGTGGCCCACTGGCCTGTGGAGCAAGGAGGGTGGCCCATTCCCCATCCTCCCAGGTGTGTGCCCTGCCTCTGTCCACTGTGCTTCTACAAGCCCCTCTGCCATCCACCTCGCTGGCCCTCACAGCTCCGGGCTTGTCTAGCTTGGCAAAGCTTTGTACCTGGCAGAACTTGAGAGATGCAGGCCTCGTAGACCCCATCATCACAACACAGCCCCTAGGAGGCCCGGCCCCAGCCCCACCCCAGACTGCCCGGCCCAGAGCGGCTCTTGTTCTCTCTCTGCCACATCTCACACACACACCCATTCCCACAGCACACGCGCACGCACACGCAGCACACGCAGACTCGCTTCTCTCACATCATTCACACATACAGCATACTCACAGCACACACACACACCGCACACATGCAGCACGCAGGGCTCAGTACACACCGGTTTACACTCACACACACATTGCCCCCACGTAGACTTAAACACATGCTCCCACATACAGCACCCATCAGCTATCCAGACACCCACAACCTCACACACACACAGGAAAGGCCTCTTGCAGGGCCACCCCTCTGGCCTGGTGGGCTGTGGGACCGGGCCGGGCCAGTGGTGGGGCAGTCACCGGCCACAAACTGTGCTCCGTTGGACATAGAGCCTGCCGGTTGTCGGCATCTGTGCTTTGTTTGTTTCTTGTTTCACGGTTATTTCTGTTGTTTGGTCTTCGTGCCATGCACGTAGATTCCTGTCTTTGTGCATCGCTCTCATCCTCTTTCTGTTTCTCCCCCTCCCTCTCTCCTCTGCACCACTGGCATCTGGCTGCCCCAGGGAGTCAAGGGCCAAACAGGCGAGAAGGTGAGTCCACTGGTCCCCTTCCGCCCATCACCCTTAGCAGAGACTCTCTTCTCACTCTGAGGCTGCGCCCTCACTACCCGCTGTCCTCCCCGCCCCCCTCGCAGATCCCCCCCCAGGCTGCCCCTGCCCAGTTTCCTCACAGCTTCCACACCATCCGGCCAGAGGCTTGGGATTCCTGGGCGATGGTCCCAGCTTTCCTGGCTGGCTGGGTCTCCCAGGGCCAGCCATGTCTGCACACAACTTCATGGCTCTCACACCCCTGGGATGGACAGAGCCCTCTTCTCTGCTCTCTGTGGCTGACTCTAACCCAGCCCCCACCACTAATGCCCTTCGAGAAAGAGCCTTTCTCTCCCCCTTCCCCAGGAAGAGCCCAGGGATGCTCTCAAGGGGGTGTGGGGCAGAGGCCATCCTAGACCATCAGCCCTGGTGGTTCTTGACATTCCAGAGAGCCACACACCTAAACGGCTCCCTTGGCAGATGACAAGATTGGGACTTAGATACAGGGTGGGGCTTGTCAAGGTCCCACAGCCACAGTGACAGGAGAGGCCAGAAGCCAGACCCCCTAGAACCCCTCCTGCTGCCCAGCCTGCACCTTGTGTACCTACCTGTACATGGTTTTCTTCCCGTCTCCCAAATAACAGCAGTAGCGATAATAATTACAGCTATTTTGTATGAAGCACAAACTGTGGTGGTTACGCATTGGACAGCTATCCACAGGGTCGCCAGTTCAAAACCACCAGCAAAGGCCAGAAAGACGGGGCTTTCTACTCCCCCAAAACAGAAGCCCACAGGGGGTGGCTATAAGTCAGCAATGACTGTGCTGAAATCCCCGCTGATGCAAAATGGGACTATGGATGCCTCCCTGGTAAGATGTGAGGGTGCGAACTGGAAGGACAGTGGCTAAACACTTAAAACAGTATCTGACACCAAACCAAACTCAAGGCCCCCATGCCCCTTGACCCCTCTGCAGCCTCCTTTCATGGGGGCTCAGAGAAGGCCCCTGATGGCCCCCAGCTAGCCAGGTGGCTTGCAAGACCTCGCCTCCAGGGCCCTACCCTTTTTCACTCCCCCACATGCCTCGTCAGGAAGAATGGACTCCTGGGGGGACACAGCACCCTGCCCTCCTCCCAGCGGGACATAAGCCCGCTCCTGCCAGAATGTTGATCTCTGTTCCCACATCTGTATCCCAGTCTTCCTCCTCCTCCCTGCTCCCCCCGACCCAGTGTTTATCTAGCTGTCTCAGCCACCCGTCCACAACCCTCTGAGCTCCCGGTCAAGCAGCCACCTCCACCAGCCCCCTGGGAGTTGACATTCTGTCCCAGCCCTGACCCCTCCATCACTCAGAAATCAGAACAAGGAAACTGGCCAGGCTCACATGCTGCTTCCAGAATCCCCGTCCCCGGGCAGAGCACTGGGCACCAGGGTCAGCCTGGGCAGGGCACAGCCAGATGGGTATCTGGGAATAGGGTGGGGAGGGAGGCCTCGGAGTCTGTGTAACGTGCCGTGGTTGAAGATGGGCCTGAGCAGGGCCCGTCTGTGGAAGCCCTGGGGCCACTGACCAGGGCAGCTATTGCTCACGCCAGTGCACACCTGCTCCCTGGCCTCCCTGGCTTGAGGTCACATCACCCCAGGCCCCACATCGACACTTTTGCTTGAATCTCTTCTCCTCGTTCCTACTGCTTTTCCGCTGTCCTTCTCGGGCCTTCTGGAATGTTCGGCTCATTTTCTATTTCCTGCTTCCCATCCCAATCCATTGCACTGCCCTCCTGCCCCCTGACTCTCCTCTTTCCCCTCTCTCTTCTCCCTGCCCTGACCCCTCCCCTGTATTTCTCCCCACAGGGCTCCCCGGGAGATGCTGGGTTGTCCATCATTGGTCCGAGAGGCCCCCCTGTAAGTTGGTTTTTGCTCTTCTTTGGAGTGCGGGTGGGTGGGGTGGGATGGGGAAGTGAGCCCCAGTGGTCCCGCCGGCTGTGGAGGCCCCACCCGTGATGTGGTCAGCTACACCAGGCCACAGTGCTGCCCTTGCCGTAAGAGAAAGTGGTCTAGCTAAATATACCGAAATTACAGTCTCTGGGGAGGGCTCGGGAGGGCCTACCTCTAGCCACACAGCTTGGGCGGCTGGAAGGCCTGCTGGTTACCCCCAGAGGGAAGTACTCACTCCTGGGGGGTGGGGGTGGGGCCAGGGCCAAGACAGCCTGGCAAGACTGTCCCAGCTTTGTTTCTGCAAGGCCTCCCTGCATTTCCAGAAGCCCATGGAATGGACACCCCGGTCCCGATCGATTCCCGGGCCTAGGACACCCCCACCGCAGCCACCCACAGTCTCCTAGTTGAGCGTAGCCTTGGGCCCTGGTCTGAGGACCTCCACCCAGTGGGCTTCCCCTCAGATCGGGCTCCTCAGGGACAGGAAAGGGGTGTGGGCGGGGAAGCCGGGAAGATACCGTGGCTGTGGGAAGAAGGACCAGAGCTTCTTCCCAAACAGTGCCCAGGCCACGGGCTAAGATAAGATCACCAAATGGTAGAGCCAAGTTCTCGGCCTCTGAGAAGGGGAAACTGAGGCCCAGGGCGGGCAGCGGACTGACCAGGACCCCTCACTTACTGACAAGGGTAGGATTAGAACCCAGGCCTCCTGCCCCCTAGGTTTTCAGCCAAGCAGCGGGTGTCTTCTCTGTGCTTTACTGCATACTTTTCCTGACCTGTGACACTGCATGGCGGGGGACAGAGCAGGGAGTTAGCCCAGACCCGGAGGTACCCTCCAAGGACCCCAGTGTGAGCACGGCATGCCCAAGGCCCCAGAAGGGCACGCATGCCTAGTCCTCTGACGTCCACAGAGAGAGCAGTCTAGGGAGGAGACTCAAAGAACAGCTTACTGGGTTCTGTCCAGAACCAATACAACAAGCAAACAAAACCTAAGCCCACCGCCATGAGTCACTCCGGACTCACGGCAATGCTGTGGGCTAGGCCAGAACTCCCCGGTGGCTTTCCGAGCCTGCAATGCTTGGCAAGAGTAGAAAGCCTCGTCTTCTGTCAAGGAAAGGAGTCAAAATTGAGGTAGGAAGTCAGGGGAGGAGCTGGAGTGAGTGCTGAGAGGCGCCCCCCACCCCCGCCCCCCCCCCCGGGTTCTGGGAGACCTGGGGAGGGCACAAGGTGAGCAGGGAGGAGGTGCAGGGCCCAGGTTGGCTGGTCCGGCCCGGGGTGGTCCTGGGCAAGAGTTCCTTCCACACTCGGATTGTGATTGTGCCAAGGGCTGACACTTCCTGAGCCCTTACCACTCATGTGCACACTTTGTCTCCCGGAACCCTCACAAGAGCCCCCTGGGGTAGGCACTGCCACGCGCCCGCCTCACGGACGAGGAAACCCAGCCCACAGTGACACAGCTCAAGGGCAGCCGTCCTGGAATTGCATCTCCAAACCTGGGGGTGCAGTATCCCTGCCAAGGTGGGGGCTCCTTCCGGTGGCTCTGGCAGCCAAGGTGGGAATTTGGGGAGCGCTTGTGCCTGACAATGTGCTGCCCAGCTAGTGAGGGGCTGAGGGCTGGGGAAGTCACAGAAAAGAAGACGGCCCCCAGGTTTTAGCACCAAGTACCGAGACTGGGGCCAGGCCTGTTGGGGAGGCAAGCAGCCGAGCATATTCCAGACCTTGCGTGCCCCACCTTTGTCTGCTTCCCAGCCCAAACACGTGGGTACTCCTGTGTCCCCCTCAGCACCTCCTCTGATATCTTCCACGGCAACCTTAACATTATTGAAAAGCCCCCATTTGAGGGGACCTTTCTGGGGTCTGGCTACATGCCTCCTGGCTTCCAGCCCCACATGTGCGATCCTAATCGGGAACACACAACTGCCAGGCACTGGGGTCAGGGCAGGAGGACTATCCCGTCTCCTGGACACCTAGCCCTGGCCTCATGGGTGCACAGGTCTCCTTTGGGTCCAACAAAGTAGGGAGGCAGCACCACCAACCCATTGCACAGAAAGGCAAACAGGGATCTATGACGTGCCTGGGGTCACACAGCGACAAGTGCTGGGTCTGCCTCATACCAAACCCCATAGTCTTGTTCTGACACCCCACTTCCATGCACTTAGCTCTCCTTTTTATCAAGGAGGAGCCCTGGTGGTGTCATGGGTAATACATTGGGTTGCTAACCAAAAGGTGAGTAGTTTGAAATCACCAGCAGCTCCTTAGGTGAAAGGTGAGGCTCTCTACTCCCATAAAGCCTTGCACACCCACAGGGCAGTTCTCCCCTGTCCTATAGGGTCCCTGGGAGTCCGAATGAACTTGACGGCAGTGATTTTGTTTGTTATAAAGGATGTTTATTTAAAGAGGGGGTGTTCTCCCTTGGATCTGCATTGATCCTAGGAGGGTTTGACAACACCAGGAGCCTTGAGCAAACCAGAGTCCCCAAATGGTGGCCCTGTGGGTGATGGCTGAGTGCTCTTGGGAAGTCATCTTGACCCTGCAGAGCAGGGGACAGGGAGGACAAAGAAGCCATTTGTCAGTGGAGGAGGAGGTCAAGTGGGGCCAGCCCTGGACAGCCGGGATAATGGGGAGCATGTGGCTTACCACTCAGGCGGGAAGCACTGGCTCACACGCTGCTGATCAGAGCCAGCCTGGCTCTGTTGGGGGCCACCTGCCTCCTCTCCTGGAGCTTGCTAACTGGTTCAAGCAAAGAAAGACCTCACCCTGGGTCTTTGAAGGAGTTGGTTCACGTCCCAGCGAAGTTAAGATGCTGGGACAACATGTCTGGGTGGGTTGACTTTTTAGGGAATTCCATTCAAAAAATGGGGTTCGGGGGAGACAATTAAACTTTGGAGGTAGGCGAGAGTTAAACTTGGGGCCCTGAATTGCTGGCTATAAAGGTCGTCTGCCAGACTAGTGAATGCTCGCATCTCAAAGTGGCTCATCCCCTCCCCGAGTCCCCAGCTTCTCTCCCGGGGCCAAGAGGCAGCCTCATCCACAATGATTACCCGCCCCCCCCCCACCCCGCTGCCAGGGAGACACATGTGTTGAATGCTGCTGCACGGACTCATTCCATTCATAGCTGTTAGCTGCGGACAACAAGGAAAACCCGACAGAGGCAGTCTCCCCCTCCAGGCTCACGGTCTAGCAGTGGGCCAGCAATCGTGAGGAGGACTTCCCTATGGAGGGTAATGTTGGGAGGGGGCATTGAAGGTGCTGAGGGTACCTGTAGAAGGGACCCGAATTGGGGCCTGTGGGGATGAACAGGGAAGGAAGAGTCTGGATCACCCAGGTAACAAGCATGGAGGAAGAAGGAGGTCCTAAGACCCTAGGGATACTGTTGGAGAAAGGGGGACCATTCTCTCTGGAGCCAAATTGTAGGGGGCTGGGGGTGCTGAAAGCAAAGACCTGGTCAAGAAGGACCTTGTCTCCAGTACTCAGGACCTTCTCCCGGGGCGGCATGGGAGAGCCCTGGTGCTGTGTTGAGCTAGGAGTGACCCAGTCCGACACCTGATCCTCCCTTCCTCGAGGAGATGGGTTAGAAGAAGCTGCAGGTGGGAGCTGGCCCTTGTGGGAATTGAGGTCTAGACAGCAGCAGGGCCCATGGCGATGGACCGGAAAGATGCTTTGTAGGTCAAATTGATAGCACGATCACCCGAGCCGTGAGCAAGAGGGGGGAGTCCCAGGTAACCCACAGTCCTCCTTGAGGATCAAGGTAGGGGGCATCACATAGGACTGTCGAAGTGATTTTTTTTTTCTTAACCAAGAGTCTTGCTCAAATTGATAAGCAGTCAAGCCACCAAATGTGGCCATGATCACGGTGCCTGGTCCACACAGCAACACAGGACAGGCCACTTGGTGTAGGTCGAGATGCTCAACTGCTGCCTGTCATTGAAAAAGCTAAATGGAAATCCACTTCCAAGCCGCCTCCAGCGGCCTGCCCAGCCCCAACCTCTCTGGAAGTCCAGTCCCAGCGTCCTTTGGGTCGATGACCACCGCATGCTTCCCAAGTTCCTGGAAACACCCTGCTCAGCGCTGGCCTTGGCCCCGGGTTGGAGAGCTTCGGCTGCTAGCAAGCAAGCTCTGTCCTGAGGACACCTTGGGGCTGTCCCTGGCATGGAAACACTGTCCGGAGAGGGCCAGGAGGATGTGCTCTGGAAGCCATTCCTCCAGGCCCCTCGGTGTTCAGCAGTCAGAAGTTTGCCCTGGGAGCTTTCAGGGGCCATGCTGCTCCGGTTCCGGGTTTTCCCCTCAATGCTATTCTTCCCATCACTTATCCTTGAGAGGAGAGAAGCCCTTGGGCCCTCGGACATTCATGCCAGTGGCCCCCTCCTCCCCGTCCTCTTGGCTGCCTGCCGCCAACCCAGCCTGAGCCAGCAGCAGACTCCACCCCCTCCCTGCCTGCTTTGCTGGTGTATCTACCCTAAGGGCAGGGACCCCATCCCACCCAGCCAGAGGGGCTGACTTGCCCCCTGAGCAGAGGGCTCTGGGCAATCATGCCCACAGCTCCTCCAGGACCTGAGGGGCCCAGAGATGCTTCAGGGTGGACTCGAGATGGATGCAGAACGTTTTCCTGAGGAGATGATCTGATCGTGAGATGCTGCCGCGTCTTCCTAACACTTCTGAGGCACAAACAGCAACCTGCCGCGCCCTTTGTTTCATTCAGCGGCGCTCCAAGAGGGGAGCCACCATTTCCAGGAACCTTAGAGCGAGTGTGCCACGCCGCAGTCTGTGTCAGACTTGTTTGCTGTTGTTGGCATGGTGACCCAATGAGCCCTTTTGACTCCTAGGGTTTGCATTAGCCAGTTTCTTGGAAGTGGGTTGCCAGGTCTTTGGTCTGACTCCATCTCGGTCTGAAAGCCCCAGATGTGCATGAAGTTTATTGGCAGGGAATCGAAGACAGCCATTCTACCACCGACCCACCACGATCACCAGCTTTCTAACTGTAGTGAGATAGAATTCAAGGGGCTTGGGAGGTAATGTTACCATACCCATCCAAAGATGAGGAAACAGGCCCAGAGAGGCCAGGCCACTTGCTCAGAGTCGCACAGCCATTGCTGGTGGAGTCAGAAGTAGACTCAGTCTGTCAGACTCCAAAATTCATGCGCACAAAGGGGTTGTTGCCCCCCCCCCCCTTGTCACATTGGAATGGGCAGTGTGTCCAGGAGAAGGCAGGTGAGTGAGGGGCCAGCGTGCTTCAGTGAAGGCTGAGGAAGAGGAGGAGGAGGAGGAGGAAGGGAGCCTGAAATGGTTGATGAGGACAAGATTGAGGGTGACCTTGGTAAGAGTGAGGTGAGTCATACCACTTAGGTCCCTGTTGCCCTTGACCTCCTTGGCCTGGATCTTCACAGCCCGTGCGGCTTTAGGCCTCCCTGTATCGCTCTTGTCCTGTGACAGCACACACGCTGACCTGCCCTGGTCCCCAGCCTCGGTAGCTAGTCATTGCATTGTGCACCTTCCGCAGAGCAGGCCCACGTTGTCCTGCATCCCCCAAAGCTGGGAGGAATCCAGACGTTTCCCAGCAGATAGGAGAAGTGCACTGGCCAAGTGGGAGGAAAGCGAAGGAGCTGACCTCCTGCAGCCTGGAAAGACACACAAGACCTGGCTGAGGCTCAGCTCTGCTGGTGTCCGAACCACCCCGGAGAAGTCATCTGGAGCAAGGACTTCAGTGTAAACAAGCCTAAGCCATGACTCGGAGGGTCCCAGGCAGGAGCGAGGATGGCTGGGGGCTGCGTGCCTGTCCCTGCTCTCCCATCTGTTTACAGGCTGTGGTGCAGCTTCCGGCGCCCTGCGGAGCTCTCCGGGCTGACTTCCTCGGAAGATCCCAAAGATATTGGCCCTTGCCTCTTTTCCTTCCCAGCCCGGCCACTGACGGGGACTCCCAGTCACTGTGCCATGTCCCCATCGCTCCCCTGTGGCATCCCTGGTCCCCTGAGGGAAGCCAGGGGCCCCCTGGGAGCCCTGATAAGCCAGGGAGCCAAGAGGTCTCTCCACCTCCTCCCTGCTCACCCTCACTCCTCTCCTGTTCTTTTCAGGGCCAGCCAGGCACTCGCGGTTTTCCGGGATTCCCGGTAAGTAGGGGGCCAAGGTGACCCAGGTTAGCTGCCTCCCGGGGCGGTCTCGGGGCCTGACTGGGCTACACTGCAGCCAAGGCCACCCTGTCTTGCCTTTCTGGAGTGGCATAGGACTAGCTTCCTCCTCCGCTCCCAGAGAGACACCCGAGGGCTGCTGGCTCCTGGTGCCAAGGAGGCCAGGAAAACAAATGTACCAACAAAGAAAGAGCTGGGCAGGGCCCTGCCTGCCAACCAAGGGAAGCTGAGTCACGGGCTTATAAAGGCCTCAGGACGCCAGCCCTTCGAACATGACCCAGGGCCGGGCAGCCACCCACGACCTGGTGTTGAGAGGGAGAGAGCCAAGCCATGGAGGAGGCAGAGGGTGGCCATCTGGGTGCCCTTTGGCCCCTGCCTGAGGCATGGCCTAAAACACATGGGCCGGGAGCAGCCAGCTGCGCTTTACCCCAGGCCTCGATGCTGGCCAGTCTGATTTTCTTAGAACGTCCACTCTCTGCTGGGTCTCCACAGATGCCCCGGGTAACTGCCACCCTGGGTGTCCCCTGAGCAGCCAGGCAGCCTGCATCCGGAACAGTCATTTCCACTTTACAGCGGGAATTGAGACTTAGACTACCACTCCCTAACCAGTGTGGGGATAAGCAGGGACTGGGCTTGAACCCCAACTCAGAGTCCAGAGCAGGTGCTCTTAACCCCCTTCTGCCCCAGGAAGGAGTCTTCCGGTGCGTGGTCCTTATAACTGTCTTCTTTCTGGTTTCAGGGCCCCATTGGGTTAGACGGCAAACCGGTAAGAGGCCCTCTGAGGCTGCATCCTTCAGAGGGCCAGAGGGGCTATTTTCCCCCAGAGGTGTTTGGGTGTGTGGCCCCCAACCCTAGTGGGCTTTCCCAGGCACAAGCCCACAGCCTCCACGTTGGGCTCTCAGCATCTGCAATGAGAGTCACCCCTAGAATGTGCTGATCGAGGCTCCCCTGGCAGGGACCGGTGGGAAGTAAGTCAGGGAGGCCCCAGAGGAAGGGGAGGGGTGGGCTCCGGAAAGCCTGGCATGCATCCCCACAGCCAGCCCCTGCTCCCAGCACCGCCAAGGACCAAAGTAAGCCCCAGGTCTCCTACTCGCCTCCACCACCATCCATCCGCCTCTCCCGGTCAAGCACTCTGCCCCCTCCCCCACCCCCACCCCACGCAAACACTCATGACTCCATGTTAATTGCTCTTCCCCGTCTCACTTAATCCTGGTGCTCCCCCACCACACACACACACACACACATGTGGA